ACATATGGTCAGTAGTTCCAGTGTTGCTGGAGGAAGAAGCAGCAAGAAAATAAATGCAACCAGTCTGTGAACAAGATTACAAGGGAGGGGATTGTTATCTCTTGTATTCAGGCAGAGGACTGTGGTTTGCAGGATTTAATCAGTGCGTCTCTGTGCTAGTGTCCTGAAAATAGCAAATGGTACAGTTGTATCTGAACTTTGACCCTCAGTAAAAGTAGAACTTGACTTATTGCTGAGGATACAATTTAGTCATGGAGGTTATGGCAGTCATGGATTCCGTGACTTTACCAGACCTTTGTGACTTCTTTGGCTGTCAGCAACTGGACCTAGGGCTGGAGCTGTGCACCTCCCCTTCCCTCCCTTCCGGGGCTGGGGTCAGGGCCGTGTGCCCCTGGGCTGTGGGTAGCTGTGCACGCTCTCCCACTCTCCCTGTGGCTGAGGCTGCTGGAGTGAGGGCTGTGCGCCCCCCCCCCATGCTGGTGGGACTCCAGCTGTCATTCCTCCCCCCGAACCCTGTTTCCCCCTCCCCCGGGTTATTTTTAGTACAGTCACAGACAAGTCAGGGGCTCCTGTGAATTTTTGTCTATTGCCTGCAACCTGTGTGACTTTTACTAAAAATAACAATGACACAATCTTAACCTTAGTTATTGCATAAAAGACAGAATGGAAGAGACACAGAATCATTGTCTAGGACCTGTGCAAACCTGCCTCCTTGTATGCTCTGCTCAGAGGAAAGTGAGAAATGTGTGGGACTCATCAAGTGTTGCAGAGTTAAAAGAGCTGTGTGGATCAAACTATTTAGCTAGCATTGCTGCTACGAAACAGGGTGTAAAACTATGGTAAGGTTGAAAACAGCATTGCTACACTGACTTACAAACAATCCAGTGCCAATTGGAATGAATTAGTGTGGACTCTATCTTTCTTTTTTATACTGTTTGGTTTTATCCTATTAAACTGTAAAATTAGTGATCCATTCTAATTTGCTGATTACTTTTGGGCAGGGAACCCCAATATATTATCAGTTGACATGTTAAAAATGCTCAACACTTTACCATCCAAGAAGCTCAGAATTAATAAATAATGCTTGAATTACATACTCCATATCCACTCCCTCCCCATCCTGGTCTCCACCTGCCTTGTTGTTTTTTTTTTTGTTCCCTTCTCACGGTTCTCCTGACTCAATCAGCATTTCCTTCCTGAACTGAAGTTACTTTAAAGGTAGTAAACCAAAGGAAAATGGTTGGGGAGTAGGGGAAAATCCTCTCTTGCAGCATTTTTGTGTATGCCTGTAGCCATTCTACCACTGACAGTGATGTCTTTCAATATTGTGAGCTCATTGGTGTAGTACCTTGTTAATACTTAGGGCTGTAGTGTAGACATGCCCTAAGTCGGTGGCTGATGTCCATACGCACCCTCCTTCTGTTGGTGGTGCGTGTCCTCATCAAGAGTGCTTCCACTGACTGAAGGGGGACGTGGGGGGAGGTCCTGGGAGCCAGGACTTTCAGCTCCCCGGTGGGAGCCCAGCTGCCCCCTGGGCTCTTGGCTCTCTGCTCCTGTCTGGGAGTGGGGGAAGGAGGGCAGCCACCCGGGTTTCTTGGCTCCCTGAGTGGGAAGCCTCGGAGCAGCAGCCCGACTGGGAGTGGGGAGCCAGGCTCTAGCTGTCCTGCTTTCTTATCAATTTCATGGTTCCATGCTATATTACAGTTCCAATTTCACAGTTCCAGCATGGAGCCGTGAAATTGACAAGACAGCCAATGGCCGATGTAAGTAACATAGTGTCTACACAGACACGGCGTTGCCCTACGTAAGCCCTATAACTCTTGTGGCGGTGGAGTTATGTTGGTGTAGTAGGGCACTTACATCGGCAGGACAAGGCTGTAGTGTGTATACTGACATAATTAGGTTGATGTAAGGCAGCTTATGTCGACCTAATTGTGTAGTGTAGATCACGCCTTAAATAGAGAACTCTAATTCTTCTCGCTCCCTGAAACTCTAGAGTACTGCAGAATGTGGTAATTTCAATGGGAGTAGCTAGATGTTTGATGCTTTTGAAAATTAGGCCACTTAATGTTGGTGCCTAAATATGGGATTAGGAGTCTAACTTTAGACTCCTGTTTTGAAAATCTTGGTCTGTGTGAGGTGAATTTGCCACCAGAAATTGTTCCTCCCATCGCAGGCTTAACTGCTCTGGTTCTGTAGGTGTAGTCACTAAAGTAATCTGTAGTTTTCCCCAAAGAGCTTTATGTAGTTACTGGCTCCAATCTGCATTATCGTAAAATGTTTTGTCTTCTGAGAAATAAAGCTGCTGATTGTGGAAACTCAAGGCTTGATGCCAGGCAAGCTAACATAATTGGAGAACATTCTGTTTAGATTCCACTCAATGCAATTTGATATTACTGTATTCACTTAGTGAGTATCCTTGGTTCTAAAACCTCACTTAGTTTCTGGTAGAACTCCAGCATTCTCTTTGCTAAGAGTTTAAAATGGCAATCAAGAAACTAGTGCACTAGCAGCTCTTCCTCCTCCTCTTAATGGTGTTCCAGACCTACACAATTTTCATGCACCAGCTACTGGACAATAAGCCAAAAGCATCAGTGTTTGTTTCTGTTCTATTAAAAATCCCTGAAGGGGAGTAGATGTACTGCCTTCTTGGAAATTTGAACAAGCAAAGTAAAAATTAAGGATTTGTGCCTTTACACTGTTAGTTGCACAGAAGATGAGATTAAAGGACACCGTGATTTAGCTCTAAGTGAAGTAACAACTTTATGGGAACTTGGATAATGTGAAATGTGACTACCTTCTAAGAGGCCAATGGTAGTACTTCTAGCCTTTATCACTAATGATTTAAGCTGCCATCCTTGTTTCCCTGCAGGGACACTTGATATGTCTATAGTTTGTTCTTTGTCAAACAAACAGATGTTAATTCCACTACTTGTAGCTAAATGCAGCTCTTCTGAAGCAAATAGAAACCATTCAACAAAACATTCTCTCCAGCCCACACTGGAAAGTACATGTGCATCCACACATTCCATCAAGGAGCTGTGGTGGATTCTTTTGTTGGGATGGTATGGTTTTGTTTGAGCTGATTAAACATTTCTAATCCATTTGGTATTGTATGTGCTGCACAGGTTTCCAAAGTATGGTAAATGTACGTTTAACATTGCTTGCAGGGAATCCTGTCTTCCTTCAATGGGAGTCTCGCAACTAGAACAGGATGGAAAATGGTTTCCTTTCCTGTGAAAATTTGAGATTTCAAAAATGTTCCTGTTCTGTATTGGAATGAAAGAGACCTTTCCTAATAATAATAATAAAAAACAAAATAGAGAGCTAGAGCACCACCCCACCCACTGCAGAGTAGCCAATAGCCTGGCACCAAACTAAAGACTTGAATCTGGGTGTCTCCATATCCCAAGCGAGCACTCTAATCATGAGGCTATTGGGTATTTTGTGGTGAATGGGTGTCTTTCATTTTAATTGCTATTGGGCCCAATAGTAAGATTTTCAGGTAATACAGTAGAAAAAGCATGGTCCCTAATACATACCCATAGGCAGAATGTTGAAGTCATTGGGAAGTGCTCAAACAGAATTTTACTATTTACAGGTCAGAACTGCTCAAAACTTCTTGTTGAAGAGTGCTCCAAAAATGATTCTTTTTTTTTCTTTTTTTTAAAAAGGCTTAAACTACCATATATACTCAATCATAAGCAGGTTCGTTTATAAGCTGACTCTCTTTTCCCCCCCCCCCCCCCAAGATGGATAAGGAAAAATGAAAATTTTTTGTAACCTGTTCATAAGCCAACCCTATAATTCAGGGGTCAGCAATCTTTGGCTCCCGGGCCATCAGGATAAGCCGCTGGTGGGCCGAGATGGTTTGTTTACCTCGAGCATCCGCAGGCACGGAGGTAAACCTAAGTAAACAAAGTGTCCCGGCGCGCTGGCTGGGACAGCAACTGGTGGGGAAATTTTTTTGGGGGGGAGAATCTGGGAGTCAGGGGAGTAACCCCTGGGACCCCCACACTTTCCCCATCCCATCCCTTCCCACCTTATCTGGGGAGGGCCAGGGGAGGATGTCTCTGGCCTGGCCGGAGCTGCTCTGGCACGCTGGGCAGCGCGGCCACAGCCTGATCTGGCAGGCCAGAGCGGGCGGCGCGGCCACAGCATGTTCCAGTGGGCTGGGCCAGGCGTCGCAGCCGCAGCGTGCTCTGGGGGGTGGGGCTGAGTGGCACGGCTGCAGCCTGCAAGCCCCAGAGCTGGGGGGAGAGCAGCGTGGCCAGAAGCGGAGAGACTCTGGCCCCGCCTCTTCCTTTCTGGCTCTGCTGCCTCTCCTTGCTGCCTCTGTTGTGCGGAGGGGCTGTGTCCCACCTCTCTCTCTATACCCGTTCATAAGCCGACCCCCTTCTCTGGTGATTCCCTTTTTTACTAAAAAAATTCGGCTTATGAACAAGTGTATATACGGTACATATTCTAGCACTTGCTCCTCCTATGCTAATCAGGAACACAACTCATGACAACTGCCTACCTGTCCTGCTTGTGGGAAGTATGTCGCAGTATTGCCAACCCCAAATGTTCTAAAATCATGAGAGGGGCTTTAAAATCATGAGATTATGTAAAAATAATAGATTTGGTGTTTTTTATTTGCCTTCTTTTTGAGGCTTAGGGTGCACCGGGGTCACATTTTGAAGTTTTCTCCACAGCCACAAGGGCTAGAAACTTACTTTTTCTTTAAGAATGGAGGCTGAAATCATCATGTATCCCCTTGATTCTAGGAGCTGGGGCTTTAAGGAAAACAATAATTATCAAGAGACTCGTGATGAAATTCTGAGAGTTGGCAACACTGTAAATATTGAATGCCTTCTTTTCAGTAGGAGCGCTACCTAACTGGGAGGCAGTTCAATGTCTATTTTAGGAACAATTCTTCAATGCCCTTATTCATAGTGATTTGAAAAGATGTGGGGTGGACTTACCTTCTGTAATATGTTGTTTTTGTTTCCCCCCCCCAGGACACCTTTGTTCCTTATAAGGAAATCATCCTCATGTATTTAGAAAAAGCAAGGACCTTTGTGAATGGACAGTGTGCTGGCATTGAACCCTGGCAATTGATTGGCTCGACATTTGCTTCTACTCTGGTGGTGGTGTGGCTGCACGGTATCCTCTTCCAACCAGAGAGTGAGTACCTTGGCACGTCTCTCTGGAGTTGGGTTTTCTAACAAGCTTGTGGGGACAGAGTTATTTCTCATGTAAATATTCTTCTGTTTATACATTTGTGACTGGGATCCCAGTGAGGGCCAGCTGAGGTCACTCAATTAGGGGTGGCCTGCAAAGAATGGGGCAGACAATCCCCAAAACTGGTGGATATTTCAATACTTAGATTTACCAAGCCAGCACAAAATAGCTTCTTTATTACCTCACTGGTTGCCCAGAAACCAACAATGCAGTTCCCTTAAAGCGACCCAGTCTCAGGCCTCCATCCAGGTACCCAAGTAAAATATGATGATTTCTGAAAATCTTATTTCATTATATAAAAGAAATGGTTCTACCAATTCCAAAGGATCAGATACATTACCTCCCAGGTTAATTAATATTCTACATCTTACTCAAATACACGCTTACAGCTAATTATTATTAACTAAACTAAAATTTATTCATACACACATGAGGTTCAGATACATAGCAGAGATGGTGAGCTTTGTAGTTGCAAAGAGTTCTTTTAGAATTTAGTCCATAGGTTATACGGGCAGTCCTCGGACTTACGACACAATTGGTTCCTGAAAATTGTGTCGTACATCAGAATGTCGTAACTCGGAACCACAATGCACTTCATCGCGGACCAAGCGTCGTAAAGTCGAAACCAGTTGTTGTAAGTTGAATCAGGGTGTCAATTCAGAAACGTCATAAGTGCCGTTTGTCATAAAGTCGAGGACTGTCTGTAGTCCAATGTCCAATATTATATTCAGGGTGTTTCCAGTTGAACTGGGACCTCAATCTTGCAACTCAAACTTCCCCTGATGAAGCTTAAGCAGATCTGAGATAAAAAGGATTGGGACCCAAGGATTTTTTTATACAATTTCAGGCCTTCTTTGACAGAGTTGGAGTCCCTCGGGGAACAATAGGACCCCATTTCCTAAGAATCATTGTTAATTATTCACACAGATTAACATAAGGCAATGGCCTGTTTCTCCACCATTCACAGATGATTTGCTATACATTTCAAAGAGATGAAATACAGTGATCTCCCATGTTTACAATTCATTTAAATGCTAGGATGTTCTTTTGATCTCTGAATTATCAGAATACAGCATAGACAGGGTCTGTTGCTTACATTGTTGACCACTACCCATATTTATGTAAATACACTAGAACACAAACATTATCTCCCCATATGTCTTAAAGGGTTGAATTTAAGTCCTTCATCCTGTAGGATGTTTAACCCCTTCTGGCCATGCATCACAACATTATAAACAGGCTTCTGACATAACCCAGAATGTACCAGTAAAATCTCTGGTTATCACATTAAGGTCAAGACGTGGCGAAGTTTCACTAGCTAAACCATTCCATATTAGGGAGTGGTGGAAGACAGTCTAGACAGAGTGTGCCTGTGTGATGCAGAAAAGTTGCCCTGCTCCTCCCCTCCCATTGGACTTTTGGTTAAACACTCATTTTCTGGTCACTCCTGTGGATCAAAAGTCAGAAATAGCACAGAACTCAAAGGTGACTCTGGTGAGGTTCGTGATGGGAAATCATGATAATATAGCGAAATATCAGGCTTGGAGGATTGTCCGGAACACATCTTGGACTGAAGAAGGGGGCTCTCTTTCCTTTCCATTAATCATACACGTTTACTGTCTGAGAGTCAGTTATTTAAGGTACATACCCACATGTTTTCATCTGTTCTGAGCCTTTTTCCTTGTTTGAACTGTAAAAATTAAATTGGATCTCTTGGTCTATTGCCGTGCATTCTTCTTTATTGTGGCAAGGTGGTGATAAAGATCACTGGACCTATCTGAGAGAGGAGGCTGTAGTGCCTTGTGAGTCCCATAGGAGTATGTAGTAGTTTCTAGTGGCTGTTATTAGGAGTAACAGCATATTAATTTGATGTTTAATTTTATGCTTTTCCCACATTTTCCCAGGGGAGGGAAAAGTACATTTGAATAGCTAAAAACACTCTTTTTAGCAAGAATAAACAGACGATTTCTTGGCTCTGAGTTTCAAGTTAGAACAGTACTAGTACCTGAGTTTTCTTAATATAATTTGTTTTTTAAATACTAGCATAGTGTTGGGAAATCTTAGATTAAACATCCTGAATTTTATGTAAGTATACAGTAAAAACTGAAGAAACTTGCACTCCTAGGAAAAAACAAACAAACAAAAAGCAGATTATCAACAATGCATGTAATACAAATTCTTTCCAAAGTCTAAGCTATTAAGTATTTACTGCAGAACATTAGTGCTAAAGTTAGCTGAGTTTGTATTCTCCTGTTGGTGTCTCAAGATTGCAAGATAGATAGTATGAAGAAAAGAAGCAAAGTAGAGTCATACTAGTATCAAAGATAAAGATTATGAAGTCTCGAGTGAGATTTTAAGATAGTTTCAGATGTTTCTTCATGAAAGTGTTATCTGTAGCTGCCAATGTTTACCTAAGTGTGTGTAAAGTATGGTGTCTTTAATTCCTCTGATCTAACCTTAAGTCACTTCTCTGTGGCTAAAGGATCTGTGGCATCCCTCTGCTGGATTAAATCCCGATAGCTGTCAAGAGACTGTCTTCCAAAGATGGTATGGAGCATAGCTAACCCTATCATTGCTTCTCCAGCAAAGGTCAGAAGCAGAATCTGGATTTCAATGAGATTTCTACATAACCCGGATGGAAAATTGGATGTGTGTGGCACAAATCATGTGACTTTGTCCACACCAAAAAGGAGATAGTAGTAGTTTAACCAGAACACATGTCCAGTATTCTCCTGGTACCTGGCCACTTGCTGTGACCATTTGCAACAAAAAGCAGAGATTGTGTTGTCAGAGTGCAATCACTGGCCAGTAATATTCTGCATTGAAATGGAAAAATGCTTTCAATAAGCGTCTACTTCTTTCTCTTCTGAATAGTGGTCCTCATAGAAGTGAGGTGTGTGTCTGTGTGTCTGTCTGTCTGTCTGTCTCTCTCTCTCTCTCCTTTCCCCCCAGTATTTAGAACTCTACAGACAGGTGATGCAGGCTGGTGCTATTCATGTTTGTTCTCCTCCTGTCTCACCCAAGACATGCTGGACACCTGAGGTGAAATTATGACTCCACTGGAGTCAAGAGAGAAACTCCCATTGATTTTAATAGAGCCAGAATTTCACCTCTGGTATTCCTCTTACAGCTTTCCTGTCCAGAATGCCAAATAATGCAAGAATATATGTATATGGTGAGTTAGACAAATGCCTACTAATGACTAAACAAGGCTCTTAAATCACCTTTGCATACTAAAAACTCTAGGGTTTTTTTGGTTTATTAGTTCAGAGCAGGTTGCTCAATTTTGATTTGATTTTTGTTTCTTGTTTATCTCAGGTTTAACATCACGAAGTAAAAAATGGTTCTTTAAAACTCTAAGAAAACTGCCTTTTGTTGGCGCCATAGTAAGTATCTGAACAGCTTTCCTTAACATTCAGCCAACTCTGTCTGTCTGTCCTAATTTGTATTGCAATAACACCCAGGAGACCTTTGTGCTAGGCGCTGTTCAAACATGAAGTCCCTGCCCCAAAGAGCTTACAGTCCAAGTAATCTTTTTGTAGCAGTATTGGCCTAAGAAAAGGGAGATGACATTTTCATTGCCAGTAATACCAAGCAGCTGAGTTTCCCCAACTCTTTTCTGTATATTATCAGACTTTCTGAAAATAGCCTTAAGTGGTGGATGAAGGCCACAGAGTTTACTCTGGGTTATTTCTCTGCCTAACTTACCATTCTGTTTGTGTCCTCCACATGTAGTTAACTGAATGTAGTAACTGAATCTTGTGTTATGGAAGAGGTTATTCTCCTTGTCTTTGATTGGTTTAGAACTCCTATCTGTGTTAGGAATAGCTTGGACTCTACTCTTAAGAGAGCAGAAGCTATGTAATCATTAAAACAAGAAATAAAATTTTTTTTTTTTTTACTGAAACAAACCTATTTACTACAAGATTCAGCAATTGTCATGAATTCTTACCATCAAGAAGGGTATAACTTCTTTTAAAATGTATTTGGTAATGACAATACTGTGTTTGGTGGCATACAAGGTACAGTCCCTGCCCTGAGGACATCAGTCACAATAGATAGACTAAATAAAATGAAGGATTCAGGGGCCAGGTTTGTCTTAAGTTTGTCTTTTGATGCAACAGACGAATGGTTTAGCACAGTGGTTTTCAACCTTTTTCATTTGCAGACCCCTAAACATTTTTTGAATGGAGGTGCAGACCCCTTTGGGAAATCTTAAACATAGTCTGCGAACCCTCAGGGGGCTGGGGACCACAGGTTGAAAACCACTGGCTTAGCATGATAAAGAATGCTTTCTCTCCCAGATCTTCCCTTGGCATTATTACTGATGCGTGGAACTAGTTTTTAAAAGCTCTTAACCAGTTCTTATAAGCTACAAGTATCTCCCCCCATGCTGATGTCCTGACCAATACATTCCATCGTTTGACATGGTTGTCATAACCAGTGAGCTGTGGCAGATGAATTTATAACTCAATATTATATGCCATTTATGTCTATTCCTTGCTTACTGGCAAAGGAGACACAAAGTAGTCCTGGGCTCCCTACAACTGTTCCTTACTTTTACATGACCCACATTTTCAGGATAGTGCTACTGAGATGTTGGCCCATTGCAAAGAAACGGTTTAGTGTCTCATTTGCCTAGTGCGTCCACTGATCAGTAGAGTCTGACACATAAGCCTATCATGTTGCTTACAAGAGGCCTTGATGTCCAGGTATTCCAGTGTTCAAAAGTCTCTGTTACTGATGGTATCTCAACAGCTATATTAGATAATGCTTCTGGGAGAGAGATCTGTGCTGCTGTGAGGGCAGATCTGGGCCTTCAAACTGTAGAGTGGGGGAGAAGTGAAAGTGTCCTAATCTTATCTGTGTGTTCTTTCATTGTGTTACATTATTGTGCAACATAGATATTTTTTCAGAGTTTCTAAACGTATATCTGATTTCTGAAGCGAGATGGTCCATAAAGTAATCCATCTTGAAACTGTAACTGGTATAAAATCAGCTATTTATATTGTCATGGTCTTGAACACCATAAAAACGCTGGGGTGGAGGGGAGCCCAACACCTTGCTTTGCTACATTTGACAAACAAAATCATTTTCAAGATTCTAAATAGGCATTAAAGGATGAAATTAACATGCACACTATTTGACAGTATCCGTTTAAGAAGTTAACACAGTTCACAGTGTTGAGCTCACTGTTCCAGTCATTAGCACTGAATGTTCTGTGTACCATAAAATGTGTGCACCCTATTGTTGAAGGTATCTAATTTTCTTTTTAGATACAGAAGCAGTTTAACAAGGCCTTGGATGATGTAGCCTCTGGTTTGCACTTCCTGAATGATGGAAAGGGTTATATCAAAGCATTGCCAGCGCAAGGCATGAGCCAACCTGTACTACTAGAGAAGATGAAGGAGTACAGCTCTATGGGTATGATAGTGAGCATATACTGGAGTATATGCAGGCAGAGGCGCTGTCTTTCTCAATTGCTGGGGGGTGCTCGACCCCCCAGGCCATGCCCTTATTCCACCCCTTCCCACAAGCACCCACCCCCACCCTGCCTCTTCCCAATCCCTCCCCTGAGCATATCCCACCCTTGCTCCTCCTCATCTCCCTCCCCCCACCCCCCCAGTGCCTCCTGCATGCCATTGAACAGCTGATCCGTGGGAGGCGCTGGGAGGGTGGGGGAGGAGCTGATCGCGGAGACTGAGCACCCACTGTTTTTTCTGGGGGTGCTCCAGTCCCTAAGCACCCACAGAGTTGGCGCCTATGTATGCAGGTCTACTTCATAGGCCTAATATTAGAATTATGCTATATGTTTACACACCTATAAAGGTAAAATGGACTCTGGTGACTGCTACAAATAGTTTCAGCTTAAATATTTTTCTTGGTGTTCATCAAATGTTAATTGGTGCTGTCCTGTAAATGACTAATACCAATCCTCATGTTTCTAGTTAACTACAATTAACTAATACTCAGGCATCCTATAAAAAAAACTCAGGTGCCCAGTGTTCTAATGCTGAAGGTAATGGAAAAGTAATTCTGTTCCATCATGACAGTGATATATAATTCAGACAATCTGGGTTTGAGGATAATGGTTACAAAGGTAACTGGAAAGTCTTTATTCTGTTTCACTGACCAGTCTGTCACAGTAAGGAGGAAAGGATAGTCTCCTGGTTGTCTGAGGTGGGGATGGGCCAATTTGACCACTACTCTGCTGGGGATCTTTTTTCCAAAACAGATGCATCAATGCACTTTCTTCCTTTCTCCTCCACCTCCAATCCTAAGGGAAATAAATCAGCGGCAGCAGTCCAGCTCTAATGAGCAACCCCACCGCAACAAATCAGTGAGCATGCAATGGGGGGGGAACACTTTAACTGCCCTTATTGAAAGAGTGAGGTCTCTCTTTAAACTGTGCAGTGTCCTAACACTAAGTCTTTGGCCCAGAAAAGCAAGACACTTTCTTCTTGACTGACACTTGTAACTTGGAAAATATTTTGGAGTCAGGTCTGAATATGCTTCAGAGCAATTAACCCAATGCGAGGCTTTTGCCAGAAGCATGGTTTGTTTGTTTTGTAAAGCAAAAAGCAAAGTACAAAACATTGCTTACATGAAATTTCTCGCTTATCTCTGTCACTGTGACTTGTAGTTTGTTATATGCCATAGTGTTTCATTGGCTTGGTTCCACATAGACAGCATGTGAAACCTCACTGCTGAGTTGCTTCTGTCATCTGAAATCTCTGCTCCAGTTAACGTAGCTGCCACCTTCTAATCAGAAAACTTAGGGGGGGTTTACAGCTTCCAAAAGAGTCTGGTTAGGAGGACTGGCTAATATTGTACCATTCCTGGCTTCGGGACTTTCTTCTCGAAACAGTTTGGCACTGCTAAATCTGAAATAAACAATATTGCATGTAGGAAAATTTTCAGTAAAATCAATCTTACTATTTTCCTATTCTCCAAACTTCTTCTAGAGCTTGCTGTGCCCTCTTTTTCTGTGTCTGTTTTCTATGTCCTCAATTTTCTATTTTCAAAATGCTTTTTTCCTCAGACTCCCTCTCATGTGCTTTGTATAAGCATAACTGCACCTTTGATCTTTTGTAGGGGAGAAAGCAACATGCCACATTTATTGAAGATACAACAATTAGCATATGCTTTTCAGTCACACATACACCATGCACACTGCCCTGCCAGTCGATGTTATAGTTACCAGTCCGGATCAACCTAGTGGCCAGCTAGGTTGATCACGAGGTAGGGAGGAGCCAGGTTCCATTGGTTGTGACACGATGCTCTGGGGAAGTCATGGCAGGATGAACCCAAAGTGTCATGGCAAGGCACCCTGTTTTATATAGTGATTTTTCTTTCATTGGGACCAATGAGTTTTGCTCTGTCATGCTGTAATCAATTGTTGTTTGACGAGAGCTTGTTTTCTTAAATTGTCCTTCTCATTCTTTATCACAGCTATCTCTTCCCCATTGATAGGTGCCTGGCTCATCTTTAGCGTTGTCAATCTGCCCCCCTCTGACATTTCAATAAGGGGTGTTGCAGCCTCCTGGCGCACTTGCATCTGTCTCTGGTTCCTCCCTCGTACATCTGGTTCAGCGATGGCCTTCAAACTTATCTCTTAACACATACATTCCTCATTCTCACACACACAACAGAATTAATTTACACAGAACATTTTGAACAGGAACATCAAATTGCAATGCAAAAGAAAAACAATCACTGCATTCTTTTACTTATTTTAAAATGCTAAACCTACAACAAATTGGTGACCCTCAAAGGTCTGTCACTGCCTTGAAATCAGTCCAGACACAGATTCTGGCTGATGTATCTCTACCAATGGCCCATTAGGCCATTCCTTTCTGTTATTCAAAAAGGGTGGCTGGCAGGATATGATCAAATCATACATAATACATTTAATACATGCTACATTATTATTCTTTATCCTTCATTCTAAATTATATTAATACAAACACAAAATCCTACTACTACAGTGCCACCTCCCCCCCCCCCCCAATCTGTTTTTACCTTTATTGTTCACTTCTCCTCCCTCCAAAAGCTATTTGGGAGGGAGAGCATTGGTCCTGAGTTCTATGTATGCAAGTGAAGTTGACACCCCCTGAGTTATGAAAGTTTCCCCTTCCAAGTGGAAGAGGAACTTTTTTGGGGGGTGGGGGGGGGTTTAAAAGGAGAAAGATGGTATTGGGTAAAGCGGGGAACCAAATCCTATTGAAAACATTCCCTGAAATGGTGCATTTGCATTACAGCTTTGCTTTAGTGATAGAAGGTTACCCAGTTAAAACACTTGGATGCTGGACAACATGTGGAGGTGCTTATTGGTAAGGGCGCAGCCCTAGCTCTGCCAGACATACCTGCTGTGTTCTGAAGTTGCAGTAATTTGCATGCACTTTTAGGTGAAAACAGTTGCTGGAGGTTGCATTGCATATTTTAGCAGTACAGATTGGTTTGAACTGTTTTTCAAGTATCTTGTAACATTGTTAAATGTTCTGTTGGTATAGCTACCACCTTCAGTGAATAGAATCCAGCAGCGTGGACAGGTTTTTGGAATTTGAATGGGAATTATTGCAAAGTTGTTTACATTTACTACATATACTCTGTTGTAGTTGCATATTGCTCAACTATTGCATCTTTTATAGCCATTGCATTCGGTAAAATGTGACTGAATACTTATGGCTTCTAATTTATTACTATGACATTTTGTTTGTTCTAATCATCCTGATACCAGGGAAGCAGGAAATATACTAGAGGAAGGGTTTAGCATTTTACATTCTGAATGCTTCCACCCAAGTATAGACTGGAAGTAACATACTAACCACAGCCTTTTTATTTTTTCAAAGCCCTTTTACATTATGAGCCAGTAATAGATAATCAACGGAGGAACTTGACCTAAACATTTGCAAAATTTGGACAAACCTACATAGGGCGTGCCAATTCTTAGAAGTTGCTAGTCACTCAGGCACTCCAGTTAAGTTACTTTCTTTGCCTTGATTTTAAAAAGTTGAGTTTCCTCATGTAATTCTGAGTTATTTTAATGGTAGTATGGAGGGAATTGTTAGTGCTAATCAGTAACTGAGAGGATCACACGTGTGGTATGCATTGCTACTAGGATAGATGCTATTTTTTGCACTTTTGGGTAGCTTTCATATCAGGATGGCTGCTTATGCAAACGTATGCTGTTTATGCTTTTTATTTTTCAGGTAAAGTACATTGGGAGGATGGGAAAGTCTCTGGGACAGTATACAGCGGGGAAGAGAAACTCACTCACCTGCTAGTGAAGGTAAATAAGTGTTCAAGAAGTATAATTTATGTGTGATTCACACAAATACGTTTGTGGGATGAAGGATCCATAAACACCTTCATTCCCTATTTATAATTCCTATTTATCTTGTCTTGGAAGATGGTAGAACAAAGAACGTTGGTCTGAAGTCAAAGGAAAAGACTGAGATAGATATGGCTGAAGGAACGAGAGTATTAGCAAAACATTTGCGCCATGTAATAGATGACCAAAGGCTGTGGCTGTCAAAGCACTGTCACTGTAGATATTCAAGAACAGATTGGGTAAAACATTTGGAATGATAAAGCAAGTGACAAATTACAAGGGAATGAGTAAACTGACATTGGCTGACTACACCTTGAATCTGGCCTGCAGCTACCTATTCCAGGACTAGGCTTCTGTGGAAGTTCTGACTGGGACAGCCTGTTGAGCTGGGCCCCGCAGCCAAGGCAAATGAACACTTGTAACAAACTGTATAGTGCAGCCAATATTCTGACGGTAGTAAAATCAGAAGGCTGGCTTGCTTCATCCAAGTCCCTGTTGTGTCGTAGCCAGAAACTTCTCTCCTTGGGAAGGTTGAAAGAGTTCTAAACAGCCCAAAGACCTGTTTAGATGCCTAGATCAGAAATTCTTCTCCCAGGAAAAAAGAACGTCCTTCCCTTAGTCAGCCCTCTTCTGGGGGTAGCCTTTTTAGTAATTGAAATGAGCTTCATTTGGGTACTTAATTCAGTGTTTGATTCCTATTGCCTGTTAATTTTCCTTGCTTTCAGGTGCTTGAGTGTATAAACCCCATTACAGCTTTTCTTCAGGAAATCTTGCTAAATTCTTTGGTTCTAGATAGGTGGGCACTTGTTCTGTATTTTGGCTGATTACGCTGTCACTGACTTCGGTAGAATTTGTTCTGGCGAGTGGAGAACAGAATCAGGTCCGCACTAGCTTTTGCTTGTCATGTAAAGCCATGGTTGCAAAATACTTTGGTATGAAATGGTAGCTTTTGAAAACACTTTTGATGCATATCAGGTGGACAGTCTTACTGCTTCTAAGAGTTTGTTTTCCCAGCTGAACCATCTGCCTGTAGTTACTCCAGAATTCTCCTGTGGCCACAAACTTGTCTGTTACTGTTGTAGATCTCGTTCTAAAGTTAATTATTCAAACAAATGTATCAACTGCTTCTTGTACTAACGAGAGTTTTAGTCACTTATTTTTTTTAAAAGACTAAAAACTGGTACTTGTAAAAGTTCATCTTGTAAAGCAGCCATTTGTTTTCTTTTAATAGAGGTAAGCTGAGAACAGGTGTATTTGCACCTTATAACTTATTTAAGCAACATTTGTTACTGAAATAGGCCATTCCTCATGTCGTTGTTGTTGTTGCATAATCGTACCACAGGCCAAATGTGCCCTAGGGTAATTCTGGAGTAAGCCACAGTGGGTAGACCGTGTGAGTGTCTCCGTCACATTTGTAGCTTCAGTTACTTGTAGAAACTCCTACTACAGCTAAAGTCTGCAAAACACTGCTTTGGGCTGCCTAAGACTTGCTGCTGCTGCTGCTCCTTGCTACTGTAGCTGAAAATAGCTCATTGAATTAGCTCACTTGTAATGCTGTCTGTATTGCCACCTTTGATTCCCATTGCGGAACTTGTTAAACAATAACAAGTTCTGCAACATATCAGTGCAAGACAGACATGCTCGTTTCTTTCTGAAGGTTTATGAGGAGTTTGCATGGAGTAATCCCCTTCATCCAGATGTATTCCCAGGCCTGAGGAAGATGGAAGCGGAGGTGGTGAGGATGGCCTGCACACTCTTCAATGGGGGACCTAATTCCTGTGGAGTAGTAAGTAATCTAGAAGCTAAATCAGAGCCCCCCTTAAACATATGAACTTTCCTAATTTGACTCTGCACACTTCCTTTTCTACTAGTTGTGCTAAGATTATTCCTGTAAATCGTGTTAGGCTTTTTCTACACTAAAAAGAATTCTGCTAGTATAAACTGAGTCTCCATTAGGAGGCTTTACCAGTGTAGCTATACCAGCAAATTCTTTCATCAGTATAGTTTTATACCAGTTCCCTGAAAGAGAGAAATTACTCTGACATAGCTATGTCTTAATGGGCATATGTCTTCTGACATTGCTATACTGGCAAAACATTGTAAGCGTAGACCAGGCCTTAGATGGGGGAAGGGACACAACCAACTCTAAAATGTAACTGGCTTGGGGTGGTGTGTTTGAGGGCGGGTAGGTTTTCTTTAATTTTGCTCTAATCTAGAAATCTATCATCAGGCCACAACTAGGATTGCAAACAATTCCGGCTGGTTGGCTTGGAGACCACTAAGAAGCAGTTGAGGGTATTAAATGGCTTTGATCAACAGGGTATGGTACATATTATCCTTGTCCAACTTGTAAGCTGTCTGCACAAGTTAGCTTGCATGGTTTTAAAGCTCACAGGCACTGAAATTAACAATTCAAAAGTATTGATTGAATTAGTTACTTGCAAAACGAGTTTTAGTCCATGTCCCTCATTTCATACTTTCTAAACAGTCACACTTTTTGTTTCATTAAGAAATGGATCCTTCCCATAAAAATACAGCACGTATTTTCTTATGCTCCTCTTGTCTCAAAGTTAGATTGTAAGCTTCTCGGGGCAGGGACTGTTTGTTTATTTATTTATTTTTGTAGTTGTGTGTGTGTGTGTGTGTGTGTGTATGCAGTGCTGAGCACAGTGGCATCTAGTCAGTAATTGACGTCTCTTGGCACTACTGCAATACAAGTAAGAAGTAGGCTGTGTTTGTAAGTTGTAGAGAGCTAATTCTATCGTGGGCAAGGTACTGGTGGCAAATCATGGATAAAGTTGTCAGGACCTGCCACATAATTGCTGCTGGTGACTGTGCTGGTGTACTAAATGGCCAGTTGAAGGTGTGTTTAAAAAAAAAAAAAATCTGTGTGTCTGAAAGACACTTATCCCCACCTCTTATCAATACTGACTTGCAGTTGCATAGAACACTGACTAAATTATCTGAGGAGAGTAGCTTGGATCACACCAATCTCTCTCTACAATTGTGGTTTTAATTGGTCTCTAATTTAATAGTTGTCATGTACTTAGCAGAATTTTGCAACACTTCTCTTGCGTTTGGAGAACTTCACTCACAAACTCTCAACACCTAAAATGGTTAAAATGGGTTTTTTGTTTTTTTTTAATTGTTCATGATAGCTTTAAAAAGTGTCTAGCTTTCTGTCTAAGTGCTATTATCTAAATGAAAATACAAGTCACATATAAGGTAAATAAAAATTTCACCAGCTGCTTCTCTCTTCATAACTAGAAAATAAATTATAAAAATGACATTAAGCCCCCCCAAAAAGCCCTAATAAAAATACCAGCACATGTCCTTCCCCCTTCACTAAAGCCTGAGTAATTAAATGGGCCTTGCAGCATGCCCTGAAGCTCTGCAAATTGGGGTATAAGGCATAAGTCCTGCTGAGGTTCAAGCAGAAGCCTAAGCAAAGCAGTCAGGGAAGTGCTAAATTTTGGTGTGGAAATTACATACTACCTTGTTGAACAGTTACCCAATATGCAAGGCCAGTGGGAGAGTTGAAGTGGTTAGCCAGAAACTAATAAAATTGACCTAACCCTGTAATTAACTTCCTGAAACTAGTCTTGCAGGTATTGAGTTCCCCCAATGTACAAGACAGGTGCTTTGAAACAGCAGATTTCAAAAATGGAACTAGCAGTTTGTGACTAAGGGACCTCTTGGTGCCTCACGATCCTGGGGAAGTGTCAGAGCTAAAGGAAGGCCCCGGAAAGGTGATGTGGAGGCCAGATGTTGTTTTGAGCACATAGTGTGACAGACTGTCTCTCAAAGGGTTAGAAGTGGGCCATGATTTCAAAACAGTAACTTCTAGGTAAGGTTTTGTACCTAAATATTTCGTCAAGATTTCTGATGGCTCAAATAGTCATTCCAGAGAGTTGTGCCAAACAGTTAAAGGAATATTTCTTCGAAGACTTTTCAGACTTGCATGTTTCCCCCCCACCTTCAGTTGTTCAGATTAACACCTCAGATCACTGTCTCTGAAGGGCCAGGGGAAAAGCATTTCCAGGGGAAATGTGCCTTCACTTTGTTTTTTCATGTATGTGACACTGCTGACCTTGTATGGGGCAGTCAGCTTTCCCTCTGTGTGGCTCTTTCAGACTTTAAAAGAGAAACATTTGAGGCGGTGTGTGAGGAAACAAAATGAGGCAGACCATGGACAGCTGTAGTGCTTGAATCTACTTCTGTAATTTTTTTTTAAACAAATTTGAGTAGTCTGAAAGTTGTTGTCCCTTTTTAATGTATAAAGTTTCTGATTTACTTTTATTCCACCTACAGTCTTGTAGTTTAAAATATACATTTGCTCCTGAAATTGTTGGCCATAACTGCTGTTTTTGAGACATATAGTCTGGCCATGTCTGGAGACATTACTGTCTGGTTTCTTTCATTCTGGATGAGGTGACCACTGTTGTTACTAATCTGAAGTAGGGAATTGGGACTGCTAGTACAATTTCAGTAATGCCCCCTCAGTGGTCTATTAAGGCAGGTGGAACATGTTGGATAAACATAGTAAAAATTCAGTGTGCAGAGTGCTGGGGAATATATAGGAACAGGTTTTTGTTTCTGTAACTGCTTTCCACTGAGGTCAAATTTATTTCCTTGTTACTCTAAGAAATAAGAAATCCTGAGAGAAATCCAGTTCTAATCATGTATGACTTCTTGCAGCATTTTGAATGATACTTATGCCTTGGACGAGGGTAAAAACAAAATAGAGTAAATTATCAGTGTAGTGAATGTTAAATTAGATGCACAACTTTCATTATTTATGGGAGTTGTCTTCATTCTGGACATGTTCCTAAAACTGTTCCCCTTATGTTTAAATACTACTATTGCTATTCCCTTGTAGGAGTTTTCAACTCATCTTTTCCCCAATGAATTACTTTTTAAGATGATGCTCATCTTTCTGGAAATATTTCAAGCTAGTCTTTTCCAACAGGAAAATGTGTTTCCAGTTTTTTCTTAATCAGTTCTCTTTTTTGCGGCCCTTAATTTTAGGGGGCAGTAACAAGAGACTCCAAATGGAGGCTTACAATCAGTTCTGAATCATGTAATGTTCACTGCATAGTCTGGGGATTTCTTTCTCCTATGATGAGGAATTGGATTCTCAACGGCAAGCTTTCTCTTTTTGTAGAAGTCCTTCTGAGAATGTTTATGGATTTCCCCTGTAATTCCAGTGAAGAGGGGTTTTTCCATGTAACTTCAGTTAATGAATTTCCTTCCCCCCTCCCGTTCCCTCCCCCCCGTTAGTCAGCAAAATCCATGACATTTTAAAGACTAACACCTGGTTTGAGTGCAGTGTCATTGAGGAGAATGGAGCACTTTAAAAAAAACAAAACAAAACCCTCTCCATTCCTGTTTCTCCTCATGCCCACCCTGTCCTCAGCTGGAGACAAGCAGTCAACTCGGAGCTCTTGCTGACTTCTGTGTGCACATGCTTTTGCTACCATAAAGTCTTGGTGTTTTTCTCTTTAAAGCTTTGCCTGTGTCTTTCTTAAGTTATTTGCCTAAAGTATGTACATGAGGCAGAAAGAGGAAAGAAAATGAGTCACCCCTGTATCGTCTCTAAAACTTGGCATGTTTGTTCCTTCTGCCATTCTCCCATTTTCCAGTGCTTTGAACTTTTGTCAGGTAGCTAGCTTCACGTTGGAAATAGGCTTTTAAACATGAAATGTGAGCACCATTCTTGTGGACCTAGACTTGCCCTTTTGCAGGTCTTTGGGTTTTATCTACCAGTAATGAGACTGGATCACCTTGTGAGGCTTAAGTAGTGGGATTGACAGGAGGTTGGCTTGTAGTGGCCTTGTGTGATGCTGCCACCATGGAATAGCTGTGCACTGGATTTTGGTGTACATGCTTCCCCAGCAACAAACTACCATTTGTTGATATCATTCATTGGGCTAGTACAACCTGGAAAATCAAGGATTTTTTGCCAGCTTTGTCTCCCATCTCTAAAGGTTTTATTTCCTAGTCAACAATTAAACTCTGGAATCCACAATTCTGCGAAAGGCATTAAGATAGGGGTCGGATGGGTTTCTTCTTTTTAATGCAGAGGTAAACGGAAGAGGGATATGTTTAGGGTGGTGGTTCATAGTAACTTGTAAGAACCCATAAGCTTTTCTTCCCTTGAGAATGAGACAAGGATAGAATCTAACTCTGGTTAAACATCACATTTTCACTTTTAAACGCAAACTTCAGATGTATAAAGAGGTACTTTGAAGTTCTGAGGAAATTCATAAGGAAACAAATGACACATTTTAGAAAGGGTGGAGGGATTATGTTCTTTCTTATCCTCCATTTCCCAAAACACACTCCTGTTCTTGATTTTTTGCATGTGCTTTTCTGTACTGGCTTCTGAAACTAGAGTACTAGGGTAAGAAAAACGCAAAAGCAGTGTCTGATTTTAATCCTTTCAACTTCTGTTACTATTGACTTTCCTTTGAAGGGAGCAGAGAGAAATATCTAAGAAGGCTGTGAGCTGGTGCTGAATCACCCTACATTGGCCAGTTGCCTAGCTCACTGCAGACACTAGAGGAAGAGAGATCCTATGACGTGATTCAGGTCTTGTGTACACAAGAAACGGTCTGCCAATATAACTATATACTGGCATATTCTCCTAGTGGAGGCACAGCTTATACCAGCAAAAAAGTGCTTTTGCTGATCTAGTTTATAACAGTTCCCCAAACAAAATAAGCTTTATTGGCAAAAGGACATTCTCACTGGTATATCTGCATCTATACTAGGGCTTCTGCTGGTATAGCCATGTTGGTTAGGATCATAGAAAACCTTTAACACCCATATCTGACTAGCTATGCTGACAGAAATCTTAATGACTCTGCCGCTGGCATATCGGGTGCAACAAGCTAAACTTCACAGCAAATAGGTATCCGCTCAGTTTGTCAGTGGGGGTGTTGTCCCGAAGGTGAAGGAGAGGCTGAAGCAAGATTGGGAGTTCCTCAGCGAAGCACCAGGACCTGGTAGCGTAAACCACTTAGCATCTAATAATATAAATGGAAGATTGTGGTAAATAAGTAGCAGAATGTAGGTGTTTCAATAAATAAGTCATGTTCATTTAAATACCACCAACTAATAATGAGGAACAATTCTGTTAGTATTATACTACATTTAAGTAGGGAGGTCTCCAAATGTGTCAGCAGTCCCCCACTCTCCCACCTCCCCACCTCCCCCCCCCCAAAAAAAAAAAAAAAGGTTAAGGGCTTGGAGAAGAATTTGGGAATGACTGATGTGGCTTATAAAACATGTTTATAATATTCCTGCCACCACCTGCTTGCTTAACAATAAACACAGCGGTTTCCCCCTCCCAATTTGAAGCTCTGTTACCTCAAGCCTTTCGGTTGCTGCTTTTGCAAATTATGAAGAGCACAGTTTGTTTTCAGATCCCTGGTGTGGATACTGCCTGAAGCAGCTGTTGCTGCTTGGCACAAAGAGCAGCAGGAATAAATACAGAGGGATTTTTTGTTTGTGACCTTTATTCATGATATCTGTATGTGTTTAGTCACTGTCACACATTCACACTTCCACTTAGTTTTGCAGATGTTGCTTTTTGTGGTTTTGTAGCAGGCCAGCAATACATCTTAAGGCATGAAAACATTGACCGTTACCTTTTTTCTGATTTACCTTATGTTAGTGGTGCTTGGATTGGCAAGCAGGGCTGATGATCCAAATATAAAGATCTCCAAAGGCAAATTAATTATGAACATCTAGCCCAGTTAACTAGAACCTTTAGGCCACCCCTGACCCAGGGTAGCAGTGACTTTTATATGCAGCAGGTGGTCAGCAAATAACAGCTTACAGTCTAAGATGACTAATATGAAAATTAAATGGTTAGTTTTTCCCACAAGAGCACCCTGGAATGTTCTCTTTAAAGCTTTGTCTATGCTTTTGCTCTCTCATACCTATGCCTCTATGCTCCAAAGTTAATGGAGGCAGAACCAACTGTATAGGTAGCTGTAGTTACACAACAATTACTGGTCTGTATTAAACACTTTTCCCATATGATTAGCTCTTTCTCCTTTGTAAGTAACTGAAGCACTCTAAAAAGCTCTTTGTGGCATTGGTGTTGGTGATATGAAGATCAGAAGTCTGTAGATTTTTTTTTTTTTTTTCTTTCCTGTATTGTGATCGAAAAAGCACCACTCAGGTGCGCTTATTGCCCTTTGTAGTTTCATTTGTGGTAAAACCATCTCTACCAACTTGTGAATGAGCAACCTATTCTGCCACCTGTCTTCAGAATGAAGACAACTTGTGTTTTAGATACACATTTTGTGTTGTGATGGTCCTCAAGCACTAGAAAGCTACTTTAATCTTTTCTTTGGCTTCCAGTTCACTTGCAGAACTGAGCCTTTCTTATGACGCTCTGGCCTGAAACCTCACTCAGAGCATTGGCATGTTAACCTTTCAACTCCTCCTTTCCCCTCCCACCCCCATTTCTGCAAATGTACTTTGTTTCATTTGTTTCTTCTATTCACAATAGATGACCTCTGGTGGGACTGAGAGCATTTTGATGGCCTGTAAAGCCTACAGGGATCTAGCCTACGAGAGAGGAATCAAGCACCCAGAAATGTATGTAACTACCTCCATGGCTTGTTTTTTCTTTCAATGATTTGTCTGATTTTATTGTTCCTGAAAAATGATCACCTTACAGCCCTGGCTTGGGGCAGGTGGTGTGCTGCACTCTTCTCTCATTTCTCTTTTAATCTCTTACGTCCCCCTCCATTCATCTGTTAACTTTGAGGCCCAAACCTAGGACAAAAACCCAAACTGAAAGAAATAATGCAAAATAGTACAGCAAGCTTTCAACAGTCTGAGATGACGTTAACATGAACAGCATTGCTCATGATTCATCCCTTCTAATTTGAATTTGAGTGTATATGTTCGGGGCATAGGCACACTTGAATCTAAAATTAGACATAGGTGAGAAGCATCTCCACTTCCAAGCCCCAAAAGCTTTGCCAATACCTAAATGCTTGCCTACAAAACCCAGACCATTTCAGCTTTGGATCTCTCTGGAGCAGAGTTTAAAGTGTGTTGGAGTTTTGATTTGCTCAAATAGGAGGGCTAGACTAAGACTACCAAAATACTTCTTGCATATGATTTTGAGCTGGAATTTGAAAGGCTATTGTATTGAGCACTACATCATCAAGCTCCAGTGATTTCTTCTTCATACAGTGTGTACTCTTTTAAAGCTCATGAAGCAACAGTAAGCGTTTCTTTGGTAAATTGCTTGTGGAGGAAATATTATACTAGAGATAAGAACAGTGTTCTTTTGTCTTATTCCAAATTTCTAAGCCTGAAGGAAGGAGCTCTCTTCCTAACATTGTTGCAGACTGCTGAACAACTGTGAAGCATCATGAATCCAAGTTAATTCATCTTTGGTTAATCTTTTTGAGCCTTCAGTCACTGCCATCTATTGGATTTACTATAGATTGCATGTTACTTTCCTTTGGTGCACTTGCATCCCCACGTGTTTGTATTTTGATGTGCTCCTGCAGAGCAAACCTCAGTGACATTTGCACAATTTTCAACACTTTTCATAAACAGGACTTCATTTTGGAAGAGATGAGAGAACTTTATTTTAAAGAGCTGGAGAATGATGAGTTTTGTATTTACTTCATATAAGTCAATACAAAGAGAAATAGTCCTTTTGAAGCAGTTTCCTCTAACTATCCCTTTAAAGTTTGAAGTGAATGGTGGAACATTGTATATTTTAGTTCAGAAAAGCACAGGGCCTGTGTGCCCAAAATAATCTTTGGCCCGCATTTCCTGTTTTTTTTTTTTTTTTCCAAATCATGCCAATAGGCTGAGTATCCTGCCTGCAAGGGATAAAGTATACAAATGCCTGCGGTATGAATTTTGGCTTGCACCTGGATAGGTATTCAGATTCAGCCTAAACATTCCTTGGTTGAAATATTGCCTTTCCTTCTTTTCAGACTGGTTCCAATGAGTGTTCATGCAGCATTCGATAAAGCAGCTCATTATTTTGGACTGAAGATTGTGCACATACCGTTGACCAAGACCATGCAAGTGGATGTTCAGGTATTGCTCTTAGACAGCACTAGACACCTCTTCTGTGGAAAACTTTCAATAATGTTCCTGAAATAGCAGTCGTCTGCCTATCAGGGATGAGTTGATAGGTAGACATGGTGGTGATGAATAGTGCTTATCAGAAACAGCAAATAAAACTGTAGCAAAAATAATTGTTGCATTCTACACTGGGCCATGCTGTAAACAATTTAGATTTAAACTGTTCCCTTTGGCCTAGCACATTAATTTAGAATTTAATATATCCTTGTGTCCAGGCATTGCAGAAGCACTTTCAATTGGATTTCAGACAAAATATTAGAAAACCTGGGATATAATCTTGAACTTACAGGGGCTGGGTTAATGGACTTAATTGGTCTCTTATGTCTATAATTGAAGTGCTGAGTGTGCTACTTCATTACAACAGCTATGAAATTGAAGTGACAGGATACAGACTACTGTAGTTAGAGTTCTTACAGAAAGCAGAAATGAACACCCATCTACAGCCTGTGCACAAAGGTCTTCCTATATACACTGTTCATAAGCTCTTGTGTTTTGGTTTATCTTAAATCTAGTAGCTTCATTTTTTGGCAGGGTGGAAATTGGAAAATGGCATGTGATTATCTTCCGTCTTTAAATCTTCAGGCAATGAAAAGGGCTATTTCAAAGAACACTGCGATGCTGACCTGTTCAGCTCCCCAGTTCCCCCATGGAGTTATGGATCCAATTGAGGAGGTGGCAAAGGTAAAGTGCCCCTTGAAGTATGAGGTTGAAAGGGAAGAGGGTTAAATAAGACTTGAATATTCTGGGCAAGTGTTTCCTTTGTAGAAAAGGATGTAAATGCAGAACTGTGACACTGCTGAATGAATCTGGTAGAAGGAGGAACAAGCTAGTGGGAAATAGAGCAACTGTTTTGAAGCAGATCAGCTGCTAATCAACAGTGATGAGGTTGGGAAGCAGTTTGGGGGGGTGGGGAGTATAGGATTCTCAGGTTTTGGTATAATTTATTACAGATTAGTTTAAAACTTGCCCCAATAGTGCAAGATTTAAGTATTTGAAATGACAACTTGAACTGTTTCATACAGTGATATGTCATGCTGATGAGGATTCTTGCAAAATGGCAAATTTTAAATGCATGCTTCTGTCTTCAAAAGTGGAATACACTGCCAGTCTCTTGTATCTTCCGTCTTCTGTTGCTGAAGATGCTTTTTTGTCAGGCTATTTCACAATTGTTTGGCACTAGACTTCTTCACGCAGGGCCAAGTCTGGGGAGAGCAGCAGGAGGATGAGCTGGAGGAGAAACAGTTTCATTTAAACAAATATGATTAGAAAGCTACTTGGGGAAAATCAAAGGGTTTAGAAATACCTTTAAGTGGGCTCATAACTGGAGTGGTGGGAGGAGAGAATAATGGATACATTTTTGATTTATATTTCACTTTATTTTTTATGTTACAAATCAGGGGGACTCTAACTTTTTTTCTTAATGTGGACCATGCCATAGTAGTGTATCGTGGACACCTCCTCCCATTCAAGTCACGTTACGTTCCTATGTCAATAACAGGACAAGTAATACATTTTTAGCAGTCTCATAGTGGATTTTTAAATCTAGAAGCAAGAAGAAACAACATCATATGATCAGCCAGATCTTCTGGACCCCCCACCAAGTGCTCCACTGCTTGAGAATTGATGTAGTAATGCTTTTTGGACCCTTCTGGAGATTCCAAACGCTGTCTCAAATGTGAAATACAAAATTAACTCAGCTGTCCCAAGAACTCTAATACATTTACTTCTTTGGTTTTGCTTGAGTAACTAACTAGGACCTCTTGTTTGTGTTTAGCTGGCACTGAAGTATAGAATCCCCTTCCATGTGGATGCCTGTCTGGGTGGCTTCCTCATTGCTTTCATGGAGAAGGCAGGGTTTCCACTACAGCGTCCATTTGACTTCCGTGTGGAAGGTGTGACTAGCATTTCTGCAGATACCCACAAGGTGAGAAGGAGAAGCCGTTGGGGGTATCTATCTAATTAAATGGTATTGCTTGCACTAGATCCACTTTCTCTAAGAAATTATAAGAAACGGTTACAGTTTAAAAGTGGAGTAGCCAGGCCTGCCATAATGGACATTCAAGGAAGAGTTCTAATGTCAACCCTGTCCTTGGCATTCCTATAGCACTTGGTATTGCTTCCATTGTATTCCACTAGAGTTGAGCTAAGAGGAGATGTGGCAGAAATATAACAGGAATAAAATTGCGTGTGGCTGTGGGAACTGCCAGGGAACCAATGCACATGAATGAGCATCTTAGTGCTCTGTATTCTTGCTGGCATTAGGGGTTGATTTTAGGCATCTGGAGTAACATTTTTCTGCCTGGGTGTGGTCCAATCGTACTGTATTGCAACAGTATGTATTTAAACGTCCCCTTTTTCTTATGGACCCAAATTCTAAAGCAGGTAAGAACATCTCAGATTCACTGCTGCAGTTCAGAAAATATGTGCTTCATGATGGGTACAGTAAGTATTTAGCCCCCTTTTCAGCCCTGTTCCTTAACACAAAAAGAAACGATCAATGAAACGATCAGGGCAGTCCATTTAGGATAAAGAGAGGAAATTCTGCTTTATGCAGTATTTCATCATTCTGTGTACTTTGTGTTGAAGCTGGATTTGAACTCTTCTTTGTCCTCTGAATATATATATATATATATATATATATATATAGTACTTGTAATTAGTATATTTTTATATATTCTCATATCTTGTAAATTCAACAGGTAGAACGAGAATGGACAATTTTATGACCCATAATACTATAGCTGTGTACTAAATAAGGGGAATATACAACATCATGGTTCAGAGAATAAGTTGATTCCTTCCTGCTATGCTTTGGCATTTTTCCCCGGGCAGCCTGAGTGATTGGATCTCTGCCAGAGCTTGTCAAAAATTTTTCTGGTGCCACCACTGTACCATAAAGTAGCATTGATATCCAGGAAAGGCCGGGGAAGGGGAGATGTTAAAATGAACTATTTCTATATTTGGATACTTCAGAACATGAGAAAGGGTGGGAATGTGGATGCCAGCAGTGCTTATCTAATGTGAACTTCAATTTATCTGTAGTCTTTTACCTGTGTACGTACTCATACATACCCTTTGCCTGTCGTCGTGTCTCTCTTGCAGTATGGCTATGCCCCGAAAGGCTCTTCAGTGGTATTGTACAGTGACAAGAAATACAGGCACTATCAGTTCTTTGTTGCACCTGACTGGCAAGGGGGCATCTATGCCTCCCCCACCATTGCTGGCTCCAGACCTGGTGGCATCATTGCAGCTTGCTGGGCAACCCTGATGTACATGGGAGAAGATGGTTATGTTGAGGCTACTAAGAAGATCATTAGTACTGCACGGTTCATTGAATCAGGGTATGTTTTTTGGCTTTATTTTTGTCATCCCTCTTGACCCATTCTGGAGCTTAAACATAGAACTCCTCCCAAAATTCCTTAGCTCCCACCCTCCAGACTGAAGAAGCTAGAGCCCAAAGTCCAGTGTTACTTGACATGCTGTGGGCTTATCCAAACACCGACTAGCCATAAGTTCGTGCAAAGGATGAGGGTGAGGAAGGGACCAGGTCTCTGACCACAAAGTTAGCAATAATGCCTTGGTTCAAACCCAACCCTTCCCTGCAACTTACAGTTTGGGGTGAGGTGAGGGGAAAAGGTGTAGGAATTTCTACCACACTGCTGTCCCTGAACCTTGCTTTGGGGGCGTTGTCTTTTGTATCAGCCAGTAGCTAATGGGTTATGAAATGTGAAACTTTCCACTCCACTGGCTGAAAGAAGGAGCAGTTGTTCTCTCTGAAGACAACCTTGGTGCTTTTTGGCCCCAAAGGGCTTGTGCTCTTTGCTACCCCACTCTCTTCACAGCCTCTATTTGTCTGAGCACTCTTGATTGTGGTCTCATAGCTTTCCTGAGTGGTTAGCTGCAGCTGCAGTGTAATTCTAGACAGTTTTGTTGCTACCATAGGATTTGTTCTGATGCTTTTGGCAGCGCGATGAGCAGCAAGCACAGGCATTAAAGCTGTCTGTAGACTTACAACAGGAAAATAACATGGCATCTTTGTTCAGCAGGTTGCTGTTAACCATTTGAGCTAAACTTTTTTTTAAATGAAAGGTTTAAATTTTCCAGAAACTAATGTCTTGCACCAGTAACGCGTCCCATGGGTGTCTCGTGAGTGACCAAGTTGTTCCTGACTCACCATAACATGCAACTTCCATAGTGAATTGGCTCCCCGATAAGAAGGCTTGAGGGCGGGGTGGGGAGGAAATGTCTGCCCTTCAGTAAACATCGTAAATACACAAGTTCATTTCCCCCACAAGAAGTGGCAGGGAGATAGTCATCCTTATGTACCTGAGACTCTTGGGAAACATGATTGTTTTGGATAAGTGGGGTTTGGATAATCTTGGTTCTATTCTATTGGATTTATTAGCAGCACTTGATAATGTAGATCACTAAATCTACCTTTTGTGGGCATGGGTTAAGTTTAGGCTAACAGGCTGTGTCCTAGTTACATACTGACTCCCTGAACTGTTTCCTATTCCTGAGGGATTTTGGTGCCATGGATACTGTCTGTATCTTTCACTCTATGCTCCAGTGCTATGGAATTCCCTCCCTTGGGCCTGAGAAGGCCCACAAAATAGTTATCTTCTATTACTATTGAGAAAATAAATGACTTTTAACTGTTTCAAGGTTGCGGAAAATTGACAACATCCAAATCTTTGGGAAACCTGAGGTGTCTGTCATCTCTATCGGATCAGATGTTTTTGACATCTATCGGCTGTCAAATTTGTTAAGCACTAGAGGATGGAACTTAAATGTCCTGCAGTTCCCGTCAAGGTGAGTTGACTGCCAAAATGGGAACTATTAATTTAGGCCAATTGTAGCCTAGCAGATGGACAAATACACCTGTGGTCAAGAAATGCCTTTAGATCCAGGAAGAGCAACTTTACAGCACTTCTTATAGCCAGTTCTCCCAACATCCCTGTGCAGGAGGTAGATAAGTAGCACCCTCACTTTACAGATGGGTGGAATCAAGTCAGAGAGGTGATGTGGCTACCCAAGGCCACACAGTGAGTCAGTGGCAGTCTGGATTAGAATTTCAGAGTTCCTGAAACCCAGTCACATCTATGTGTCTCTACACCATGTTGACTATCTGTCGAGATAGATCTCTGGTTTTCAGGAGATTCTAGTTGTCTACAGTTCTTAGCCAAGCGTCTGTGAAAGTAGACTTCTAAAATGTGTTCATAAAAAAACAACCACAACCAAACAAACTGCACAACACAGAGAAAAAAACTCACTGAGGTGCAAAGTTGGAGGGGAACCTAAATTATGCTAGTTCCTAGAGTTTTCTGGAAGCCTAGAATGTTGCAAAATTTTGTGGGTTTCTACAATATGTAAATATTCCCATTTAGCCTACTGTGTTTGAGCTGTCTGCATAGCCTGACTAAACAAAATGGTTGCTTTTTATGTCCTATGTATGAAATGGCCCCTCTTGCTTTGTCAAGAGTTGGTTATGCACATCTGCTAACAACTTGCATTTAGGCCTTGTCCTCACTGCTCATCAAAGCATGGACATTAAAATCTTAAGGAAGACAAGGCAGTTCATAGCTTGAACATGAGTTAGGTCAAGGTAAACGCTGGGCTTCCTACTACTCTCCACCTCCACCTGCTAATGTGTGAAAACTACAAACTGCCTTGTCCTTGCTAGTATTCTATCTCACGTTAGTTAACATGTGTTGGCTAACACAAGGTAAGTACACACTTCCTAGTGAAAATGCACACTAATTACAAAGCATTTGAGGGTGCTTGTGTTAAAAGTTGATTACATACAACAATCTGCTAGAACTTGGTGAGTATTTCCCAAAAGGTGGGGCACATGCCCCTTGAGGATGTGAAGGAGTACCTGAGGGGGGAGGCAAGGACAGACCTCTCACTTGTTCTCCAGATTCTCAGTTTGCATTTAAAAAAAAAAAATCGCTTTTAAAGAAAACAACCTTCAAAACATGAGGCTAAGGTAGAGGTGAGTTTGTAGAGAAGTTGAAACAATAGCTCTGAGGTGTGAGCTGCTCCATTCATTTCAATAGGTGCTAGCTCAGATACTAATAATAGTTATCAGAGTTGAGATTTTAAAATATTTCAAAGCATGTAAGAAATTAGAGGGAAGTATATTATGAAGATCCACACAAGCATTTCCTAAAGTGTGTGCGTGTGTGTGTGTGTGTGTTGAGGGGAAGGATGAAAGATTAACTAGAGAAGGATGGGATGTTGTAGTTACATGTATTAAGATGCGTGGGTCTTTAACAACATGTGGTGAGGTTACAGAGGGAGGTCTAACTGCCATTTCTGTAAAGAAGGGCTCAGCTTTCAAAAGTCTGGGAAACACTGTTTAATGTGTATTCTCCCTGGATTTATTGTATTTGAAGGGGCAATAGCAGTGAGTTACCTGCTTTTCCTTTTTGAAAATCAATCAACCTGATTATTCTTAAAACACCTACGTATGGCCCAACGTGTTATATCTTAAATTTTCAAAGGGGCCTCATCAGTCAAGGGGAGTGGCATGACTTAAACCCTCCTAGTTACTCTGAAAATGTAAGGAATAGTTTTCTGCCCTTTCCATTGTGAAATGGCTTATCTTTCCTCTCCCCTTTGCTTGTAGCATCCATCTCTGCATTACGCTGTTGCACACAAAACCTGGCATTGCAGAACAATTCTTGGAGGATGTCAGAGACTGTGTCTTAGAGATCATGAAGGACCCTAAAGCCAAGACCACTGGCATGGTAAGGAGACCCTGTACAACAAGAGTGACGTTATATTGAAATGATTAAATCTCTAAATTCACACATCCCTGTTGGGATAGAGTTTTCCTGCGTAATAATTTGTTTATTTTTAACCATAGGGTGCCATCTATGGAATGGCGCAGTCCATCCCAGACAGGAACATGGTATCAGAGATTTCTCATGCATACTTGGACTGCCTCTATAGCACAGACATCCCTTCCAGTGACAAACACATGAACGGTTCTCCTGGACACTCCTGAATGTAGTAACTGGTACTTTGCCAGCCAGCTCTGAGGTGGTATTCTGAATTCCTGGAGGAAGGAGATCATACTAAGCTACTGTCTTTGATCCTGCAAATGCAGGCGGCAGCTTTATCTACAGAACTTTCCTCCCCTTTCTCTTTGTCTCATCCCTCTACTTTCTGAAATCAACTTTTGAGTAATTTCAGCTGTCTTTGTCACTTCTCAATAGTTGGTTTAGTTTTAATTTTTCTATTGTATCACCTTAGTTAGCTACCAAGACTAGTCCTAAAAGTCTTGGGTGGAATGGCATTGTTATGGCAATTGAATGTCCATTCCACAACCCCCTAACTCCTCAGGTATTCTGTCTTTGTTTATTCTGTACCGTTTCTTTTCCTGGAAGAAAAGCTGTGGATCTTTTATTTAGTGAATGCCCCACTAGGATTTGGGTTCTTTGTAATTGTCTGAAACATAGAGACATTGAGGCAACCTCCCCAGAAGTTGGAGGTAGAAAGTGAATTGAACACAAGTATTCGGTGACTCCTCCAACGGTACTGCTAACTACTGTAGGAAACCGTGTTTAACAAATTGTGTGATGGGGGGATTATATCTTGCTAACTCTGAACATGATAGTCTTTCCTTTATTGATTCACCAATCCAGTTTTTGAATTCTCTACATATGGAGATCCAGTTAGATACAGTTGTCAATTTATAGATAGTAATTTCTTTGGATGACTTTCTTAATGTAAGCAACTCTTCCTGAGCCTTGTATAAATTGCAATAGAAGTAGAAAGTTAATTTTAAACCAACCGGGTAGGATAGGGGAAAGAGTCTGAAGGTACTCCGCAAGAACCACTCTTTATACAGTATCATTGCTTTCCTGCCTCTTGTTCTAGAACTTTTACATTACCACCCATAATGCTGTTGTATCTTGCACAACTCTGGAGGAGAGCAAAATGATTATTTTATTGTATGTAACTTGAAGGTTTTGCACTATCCTAAAATGCTGCAGTGAAGTCAGTTGAGCCTTGCTCTGTGTAATGGCTTGGGATTTGTGCAAACATATGGCACCAAAGTTAACTTTTTTTACACCGTCGTTTAATATGAAGAGATGACTTTTTGTAAAAGAAAGTAGTGGTTTCTGTCTGCTCTTTGCACTGACTCTTTTAAGGCACATTTTCAAAGGGCATTCACCAGTGTGCCTTGACACTGCTCCAGCTTTTCCTGAGACGTCAGGAAGAGTATGATGGATCAGCTGCTGACTGTGGTGTGGCCTTGGTCATCTCCTTATGGTACTAGCTTGAAAATAAGCCGTAGCAAATTGGACTCAGGTACAGTACACTCCACCCTCAATGTAATAGTCTTATTGAGCCAAGTGTTTTCAGTGTTATAAAGGTGTTGATATAGTGCTGAGCGTGAGGTGTTATGGTGGGATCTAATTAATATTGAAAGTATGAAGGTCTTGGGTTCTGAGGAGGGGGTCTCTATCAAGAATTAGCTTACTTTGTCCTTTATGCAGACTGCATTGAGTAGCCTTGTAAAATGGTTGCAGCCCCGTAAAGAAACTAGAAAAGCTTTTGATGCTAATCATTGGTGTGGTTAGCCCTGTAGAGCCTTATAATTAGGGTGGAGTGCATTTTCCAATACTCATTCTTTTGATCCATTTCTGCATACTACTAGACACTTCAAATGCAAACAACTCTCACAAGAGGTGGTTGCATTATGCAATGCTTCCTGGGAGAAAAAAAAAAGTGCTGTAAATCTTAAAGGAGTGGCCCCCCTTCACCTCCAGTACTGGATTTGCTTGCATCCAAACTGCTCCTGAGTGACTCAACATGTCTGAAACGCACACTTGCACAGTAGCTATGCAAAGTGAGAGTGAATTACGAGCCATTGCTAAAGCAAGCTTAGTGCTGGGTTCAAAGTCTGTGGATGAGGATATTCTCTTTTTAAAATATATCTACTATTCTGAACTCTGAGTCAATACAGCTTAGCCATCTTATAGATTTCAGTAAGATAAGGTGGGCACATGTCTACTTACTCAAAGAATTCTTTTCAGCCCTCTTCTTGAAACATTTAATTCAAATTGCCAGATACTCCATTTGTGTCTTGCTGACTTAGTCAACATGAATTGGACCTAATAATTCGTATCCTGCCATCTGAGGATCACTGCATCTCTCACTGTATACTGTACTTTGGAAAGGGATCTTCTATATAAATTCCCAGCTATTTTGATAGTTGACTTCCAACCCAGACCTAAAAAAAGGGAAAAACAGTTCTAAAAAACCCTCTCCAATTCTCCTTATCTTCTTCCCCAGGAATTACATGGGGCTAACAAATCAATGTTTCAATTCACTTTTTTTTTTTTTTTAATGTACTTGAAGAGGTATTTGTCTCTGTGTACTCCATTCTGGGCTTCATGTACTGTTAATGCTTGTGACTCTTTGATTATGTTTTATGTACATTTGATCTATACTGTAAATGTAATCTGTTCTGCACACTGTATGTTACTAGTATGCAGTCTTTATTTGCCTTTGCCATTTTAATATAGAATCTGTATCTGCTTTATCATGCATACTGTTTTTAGAAAAATTGTGACATTAATACATTATTTACTGGGTTTTAAACTCTACAGAGTGGATTGTAATCTGAAACTTGATGGTACTTTTCTAGGGGCAGGAGGTTCCCAAAATATCAAATTCTATCTTCCTGTAAGAGTTTTTCAAACAAGGTATTTAAACACTGGCAATGTTTCAGGGTGGAGAGGAATTAATGTGCCTGTGAAGGGCTCACAAGGAAGGTAGCTGCTTGCAGATGTTTAACCTTTATTTGCCAAATGGAACACTATATCCTATGTAAAGTGTCAGGGTGCAGTGGATACTGCTGAGCCATTGATTCCATCTGCGCTTTCTTGATGCTTTCAAGAAGATTAAGATGCATATAATGAGACTATGACACACATTACATGTGCACCCATTGTTTTTAAGGGGCCTCCAGGGCAGGATTTGCTCTGATGGTGATATTCTGTAACATTCACTCTCGCTTATTACTGGTTAAAACTCTGTAGACTGAAATTATTGAAGAGATGGTAAAATACTGTAGTGGAGAGTCCTTTTTGTATTAAAATGGTTCACTTAATTATCCAAGCCCACTGTATTTATTGAAGAAGGGTTTTCTAAACCACTAGCCGGAATCTTTGGTGATCCAGCCATGATTTTGCAGGGAGGTGGTGTCTTTTCAGTGCTGGTACATAGCCTAGGCCACTGCTCCTGGCTTGTGCGTTGGTGTGGTTTCCTGTTCATTAATGTGAATTACAGCTTTGCAACTGCTTTTCTTCCTGCCTCCCAGATAAGGGCATTGACTCTGACTGCTCTTAACATGTGGTGTTTAAGGGTATTAAAGGAAGGCTATATTAAGGAGCTGTGGATTTTCTATAGTGAATTCTGGCGTTAGACAAATATAAGGGTTAGACCTGAGTCAGCCACTTGTAGAGCTCCTCTTAGAATGTTGGTCTTGTGGTTTTTGCCCTGACAAAATCAGATACCCATGTTATTGCATCCATGAGAGGTGACAGTACTACAGTGCCAAACTACCTTTTAGGGGAAGTCTATGCTGGAATAAAAGACTCTCCCCCACTCACAGGGTCCCAGAGCTTGGACAGCAGCACCTGAACGCGATCATCTATACAGCAGTTTTACAGCCCTGCAGCCGGAGCCCCACCAGTCTGAGTCAGCTGAGCCGGGCCAGCCATGGGATTTAACTACTGTGTAGACATACCCTTAGAGTCAAACTGCTTTCATCATACTCTGGCTTAAAGGCAGAGTGCCTTTCTACTTAACACTGCACTATGCTCTTTTACATGTTCTCCTGTTTTTCAAAGTCCTACCACATCTACAGTACAATCTTGAATACTGACTCTTCAAACCCTGTGAGCCAAGGATACCTTTCCCTATTTAGAATTATTGGATATTTATTACTACTAGCTTTACCAGCTCCGTTTCATGGATGTCCCCTTCTGGACCCTATATTTTGTAGTTTTTTAACCACTTCTCTTTGAGGTAGAGATGTTTAAAAGCACATGCAACTGCTCCAGAAGTTTAGTTATGCCTCAGGAAGCCTTCCCCATGCAATGACCTGGAGACATGTGGAGTGAATTATGGGAGGAGAGAGTAAATATGAATAACTTCAACTTAGTTTGTTCAGTCAAAACTATGCAGTGAATACTCCCTTCAAACTGACAATTGGTATGTTATGAGAACTTTATTGTAAACACTTAGATATTTTCAGCTGACATTCCTGGCTCCCAGCTCTGTATTATGGCCAGTTGCAACACAGGTAACCCCGCATACCTGATATAATACTATTTGAACAAAGCTTACAAATGTAACCAAACTGCACATCACAGATACTGGTCTGCTAACAGAAGAGACCAGGGGACATAGGCTTCACTGTAGACAAAACAGTATAATTGTAAAGTAAGAAGCAAGCACACAACTGTCTGGGTAACAATAAACTCAAACTGCTTGCACTGACAGTTGTATAATATTACTCTCTTCCGCTAAAGGCCAGATATGCCAAAAGTGCCAGAGGTCAAGCAATTTTACACTGGTAGTCACTGGACCAAAAAATAAGGCAGCTTTCGTCCTGGTGACTGAAAAGTAGGAAGTATTTTTACGCTAGGGCAGCTTATTCCCTCTGAAACTTTGAGCTGTGGTGGAAGAGGAGCTGAGCATAGCATTGTCTTCTGCCTGGATCAGGAACTGTGTGGAACCAGCAAATGGTTCTAACTTCAGTTTTAAGAATGAGAGAGGAGATGGTGGCTGTTCAGCCAATTCAGGCTTATGTACTCCCAGCCTCATTCAAGACAGAGAAGCTGCAACTTGCTCTATGAAACTGGCCAAATTGATATCCCGCTCGGATAAGCCTGCACACTCGTGTGTGCTCAGGATAATGTGAACCTAAAACAAAACAAAAATACTTGCAGTTGATGGAAAGAGCAGCCATATTCTAAATTTATGCCAACATTGTAAATGGTTATTTATCTGAAGTAGTGTTAAGTACTTCCATTACTTTTTCCCCAGCAGTACCCATAAAATCTCTAATAGTGGGACAGCAGAAACAAGAGATGGGTGCAAACTTCATGGCACTCCAACTTTTGTGAGTTGGATCCACTACTAGAGCTTCATTTTGATGCTACAATACTATTAATGGGGATAGGCATGATTTATACAATTGTCTGACAGTGCAAAAATGTCTTTTCTCACTACATGTAAACAACCTCCTCACTCTTAACAGAAGGAACTGCTAAGTGTTATCTATTTGTATTGCCATGGCACCTAAGGGCCTGAGTCATGGCCCAGCATCCCATCATCCTAAGCGCCCTACAAACAGAAAATGTTATACTGTTTATCCGTTGTTAAACCTGAAGCACCTTCCATGTTATGAGATCTAATCGCCCACTGCCATCCTTTACCTTGCTGTAAACATTGAACCATTCAGGGTGGTGGTCCAGTTTTTCTGCCTGCAAAGCGACTCTGGTCATGAACCCAAAGGCCTGCCCAGAAGGAACAAAAGACAAGTTAGTTGTGAGCCACCACTAGAGTTGGCTCACAATTATTTATGGTTGGCATGTCCTTGATGGAATTAACTTCCTTTCCTTTTTGGGAATCCAGGCAAACACAAAACTTGCCTAACACTACATTGCCTTTGCCTAAGATTTCCCCACACGTCCACCTCTTTGTGTGGGAAAAGTTCTGCAAAAAACACTGACTGACTGGTTGAGTAGTTGGATGTCTTCAGTAATTGATGCTCTAGCTCAGCCAGAGGCTTATGAACTGGATGCAGGAATTACTGGGTTAGATTCTATGGCCTGTGTTATGCAAGTATTCAGAACAGATGAGAATGGTCCCTTCTGGTCTAAACATCTATGAAAAGAGGAAAACAGTTTGTTTAAAATAAGCATTAACTTCCTGGGTGGGATCCCTAAACTGACATGCAGCCCACTGGCAGTATGGACGTAGGTGTCAGTTTCTGTACCCGACTGAAGTCCTTGAAATGGAACTCTTTGAAGATGGCATCTCTCCCTTCCACCTCATTCCATCCTACAGCTTTCAGGTTTGGCAGCAGTTGCTCCCTCTCATCGGTGCTCAACCTGTGGGCTTTTCCTGCCTAGGAGAGAAATAAAAAGAATGGACCAAGAAGACACAGGCTGTTGACGTTTGCTTGAGCAGAGGTAATGCTTCCTTTCTCTGAGTAAATAGAAAGTGGGTGCTCAAATCAGTGAGGCACAGATAAAGTATACATGCAATGAGGCTTTCCTGACTTCTGTCATGAGCTGAAGCACCCACCTAGTAACTTAAGCCCCTTAGGCTATTTTACGGTTACCAATGCTTATTGGTCACGACCTGCAGCACTCCAGTCATTTCAGGGCTGAGCTTGCCTTCACCATGTACTACAAACTGGGCTAAAATGAGTGATGGCTGTATGATGTGAACCATCTCTGCTATGTACTGCTGAGAGGATCCCAAACAAGTATACTTTAAACTTCAACTAAATTTTTCAGAGGGATAGATATTTGAGTTCTGTGTAACTGAAACATTTCCAGAAGGCAAGAAAAGGCAATCCAGCATTCTCCACAAAAGGAGCTATCTGGACTGCAGCTTTGGTATGGAATGCCCCTTTCAAAGTTAGGGGAGGGAATCCTCAAATTAACCAAGATTTATTTACTTTGAAAGCTGGCTGCAATATGCCATCCTACCCAAACTGCAGTGTTTTTCCTTCCAGGAGGGTATAGGGAAAGTTGCATGAATGGAAAAACCATTTCATAGTAACAGATTTATTGCTCTGTTAATGTTTAAGCAACTGCTTTCCCCACTTTGCTCTCCCTGGATGTCTTTGGATCTTGGGAGGAACATTTTGTGATTGGTCAGATTAAACCAGTGCTTAAACTTTTCCATATTATGCTCCTACATTACAGCAGAAGTTTCAGAACACCTCTTCCATCTAACTACTAAATAAAGGGAGGCTATTTGTGACCCAAAATTGGGAGGGAGGAGTGATTATTTTGCATTGTCTTTCATTATTGTTGGCTAGAGCTGTTCCTGTTATAGTTTTTTAGAATAATACTGCCGTTCTTCATGACTCAGTTTTACAACACATCATGCTTGGGTGGAGTAAGTCAGCCAAGATAAACTGGAGCATGCTTCAGTTTAAGATGAGCATAAATGGATAAGTGGGAGTTGCCCAATAGCACCTATCCTGGGCCTATTGAAGAGGGCAGGAACATTAGGTGAGCTGGTGTCAGAGCCTTATTTCAGCAACCCAAATCCTTGCAGATTAGATGACGCTCTGTTTTATAATGGGCCTTTTTAAAATCCTAGCTTCACTGGGGCTGAAGTTGATGTATTTTTGGAATTGCATACACACACTTATGTAAGATGTGGAATCTTAAATGGTGAATAGCCAGGATGCCTTGGAAGAGTCTCAAACTTTTGATAGCTGCTTAAAATGATGCATTTTGTGTGTGCTACTTTGAGCGTGTTATTCAATCTAAACTCCCCTCTGTCGTCTTCGTCTTTGGTCAGTTATACTAGTATTTATTTTCTGAAACATCTGCACAAAGAAATAGAACCATGGTTTACTTTGATTCAGGTAGTCTGAGGATGCAGAGCCCAAAAGGCTGGTCACTGAGCAGATACTACTTCTCTAGTATTGTGGGTTTCTCTTTTTGTGTGTGTGTTTTTTGGGGGGGGGGGTTGTGCTCGACAAGCCATTCTGTATGGAAACTCTGAATGCCCATGTTTAAGCACACTGGACTATAATTACGCATGTAGGCAAAGGCACACTATAATCCTCTGCTAGACAGGATTTATCATAAATGTACCCACTAACCAGTTATGATGAGGTACAGGTATGTGTGCCCTATATAGACACCCACACTTAAGTTAAAACCAGTGGATGGGCTCCGGATAAACTGTATCCGAGAGAATGCAAGATGAAACACTAGGTTAAATGTGATGCTAATGAATTTATTTCATAACTTCTCTTGAGATACAGATCAATGTCAGGTATAATTTAAGGTGTGTGATTCATTCAAAATGTATTTTGTGAAAGCATTCCTTGTACCTGTCTACCAACAAGCTAATTATAAACACCCTCCCTGCTCACAGAAGTATTACTTTTTAATGGTATCCCTGTATTTCTGTTGCTCACTTCAGCCCTGTCCCGCATCAGGCTGCTTTGTTGTGTGATCTGAGGCAGAGATTTTTTTTTTTTTAATTGAAGATGCAGTGTAAACACTGCTCAGCACAGTAAAACCTCAGCCAATGCCCTTTGTGTGATCTCTAGATAAGCTTATTCTAGGTATCTTAGCAACCAGGATAAAGCGGGGTGGAAGCTGACTTACCATAACGCCATCAGAACCAGACACTTTCTCCTGTGCGGCATAGACACTAGCTAGAAGGGAAAAGCTGTTAACACACCCCATATGCTGCTTGTTTGTGAGTGAGGCAGGGGAGAATCACTTAGGTTATTTCAACACTTTGAAATGTTTTCTGGCTGCCCGGTAATCTAGAGGTTAGGGCTCCAGGCTGCCATGCAGGAGTGCAAGTACGATTCCTCCAAATTGACTTGCAACAGCAGAGGAAGAACAGTCTGGCCAGAGTGTGGCTCTGATTGGGCTATTGCTTTCCTCTTTGTGTGCTATAAAATGGCTAGAGCCACCTGAATGCCTGAACAGGTTAATAGTCTAGCCACTCTCACTATGGAAGTGCGTCAGGCTTCTAAGCAAGCAGTACAGTGGGGAGGGACTATGATGAAAACAAGATAAGCTAGTGATGACTAAGCAGGGTACAGGTGTACTTTCCCCTTTATTATGGGAACATGACCCTTATGGTCTCCTCACCCATGCTTCCCCTCCCCCACTGTGCAACGGTCTCTTACAAAACAGCAGCTGTTGTAACAAACTGCATCACCATAAAATGCACTGTGGTGGCTGTAGGATGACAGGCCCTCGGTTCTGCAGGTACGTCCTAGCTGCCTATACTGAAATGAACCGTGTTCCTGTTCCAACATGACTGGCTGACTTTCCCATGGTCTACTAGTATATCCGAGCCTGGTAGTTCTCCCTCCACCTGTGACTCTGGATCAAGCTGCTTCTGCACTGGAGCGTTACTTCCCTATTGAATTAAGAGTGTAATGAAGCTATGGGATTTTCTAAATCCTAGCTTCACAACTGGGAGTACCCCAGACACAACTGCATGCCCGAGTAGCTCAAAGCCAGGGTGAGGGGCCATAGCAGGTTTGGGCAAAGAGGCAAAACAGTAAAGCCAGTCTCCCTCATCAAGGCTAGAACTTGCTATAGGATAGGGCATAGCCTTATGTTGGTCCCAGTAATCTTTAGCTTCTGAATCCTCTTGCTGCCTCCCATCATGACAGGCACACAAACTTGCCCTCCTCCCAGTTACCAAAGCTGCCTGAGTTCTCTAAACCCACATGCTCCTGTGCAGCCTCCTCTCCCCCTTGGACAGTATTAGAAGTGTCCGAGTTTTTTGTCCTGAAGTCTGGCCCCACTAGGCTGCTTCTTTGTCAGTACTGCCAGCTAATGCCTTCCACATGCTCTCACTAGTTAAAACATGTTTCTCATTACAGCTAATTTAATAAATCTTAAAATGTTTTGCTGCATTTTCCAGCAGCCATGTTGTTGTTTGTTCCTGTCCGAAACAGCAGACTTGCCACACAATGGTGCACAGAAACCAACTCGACTAGTCTTTGCAATTTCATGTGAACCTTAAAAAAAAAAAAAAAAAAAAAAAAAATCGCCATACACAAATCCAGCAATTTCCTTTTAGCGTTTGCTTGGTGCTTATGAAAGTGAGAAGCCACTATTACTGGCTAGAGATAGATATATTGCAAGCAGGGCTGCAAATGACCACTGTGACCAAAGCAGTGCATCTCAACCCTGACATGCAGCATCCTCTGCTATTGTAGTGCTCTGCCTATTCCCCTTAGCCCTGATCTGCAATTTCTGTTATTCTAAGCTTGGGATCCCATGGAGCTCTGTTAATAAGATACAAGTCCAACCTGTAGCATCCCTGCTTTAGCTGTACCAGAGCCCTGGCCCTATGCATCTGGAAAAAAATGCAAAGGTTTTCTATGCAAGAGTCAGTGGGGCTGTATATAAGTGAACCAAGCGGTGTTATAAATTCGTACCAATGTGGTTCACAAGATAGTGATTGCAGTGGATGTTGCATCTCTGATGGAGTGTTAATGGGGACTACTCATATTTGTAACTGCTTTGCAGAAAGAGAAGCCCAACAACACCCACCGAGAGATTCCTATTGGTGAACACCCACTTAGTACTGGAGTAGCTGCCTATAGGTTTGCCTGGGTTAGTCATTACTGAAGAATAAAGCTTTTGTTCTTTTCTCCCTCTTCTTGTACAATAGAGCAGCTGGCTTAAACCTTTCTGCCTTTCCAAATAGCATAGCTGTTACTTGCAAAGCAAAGTCTGGCCTTCGAAGCCGTGACTTACCATGGCTGTAGATTGCCTGTGGACTCAGTAACTGGTCTTCAGATGCAGCAAATGCTCATCTGGTCTTTCGTATATATACACACATGCAACAGGCAGAGGCACAGCTTGTGTCTGAGCTCTTCTTGCAGATGGTAAGGCGGGGGGGGGAGGGGAGAGAGAGGAGGCGTGGCAAGTGTTTTAAATCCACCCACTACAAACAGCTGTAACTGTTGCCCAGGTCCTAATGATTTACCAATAGTAGAATCAAAGGGCAGAGATTGCTTGTTTTCTGCTGCACTCTGTCATGGACACAGCAGGACCTATTGGCTGTCTATTGAGGTATGCTAAAATTGCTCTGTGTTTGCATCTGTTTTATGTTGAAGCATCACCTATCTGTGTCCACCTTTCCTTTCTCAGACGGAGACTAACCGTTTCTGCCATCCCAGGCGCCTTGCTGAAGCAAGAACAGGATAATGATTAAAATAGAAAGCTTACATGTACAGTTGCTGGTGGAGATACATTTGATTACATAAGAGGGTTGTTTGATTGATCACGAGATGGTGTGATAACATCTTATTTACCCTTCCCTCCTGTGATTGCACAATACAGTTTCTGAAAATTAACACAAATGAAAACTTCAGGGGGGAGGGTTCAGATGGCAATAGGGGCCAACCTACCCAACCTCTTTAAAAACATGTAAATAAGTTAAGGGAAGAGTCTGCAGGGTGAATAGCACACATCCATAAGGCATTCACTTCCATCACCAATAGAGACTGAAATTATATACACTCAACTTCATCCCACTAGTGATCTCAACAGATCCTTCATGGCAACCTCAAATACTCTTGTTTTGGCAGATCCACACACAAGAGTCTCACGATCTGTTCGCTTGGAAAGTTATTCTAACTCAATGTTGCTGAAGCCACGGAGGCTCTAATGAAATACAAATAAAAATAACAGTCTTGGAGTGTTATGTACTGCTCTGTGTATACTTACTGCGCAGTTTTTCTAAAACAATATGCTTGGACAACTTAAAACACAAGTTTACTTGGGGGGGGGTAGGGAAGTGTGTGTGTGTGTGTGTGTGTTGGAAAAAGTAGAGCTTGAGTTAATCATTACATCACCCACTACTGAAATGCAGTCATTCCTGGTGTATAATGCTGCAAGTGTTTGACTGGACAAAGCAATGTTATATGATAATGTAGGCAGAAAATAAAAAATACAATATCCTATTAGATGGTAGATTGAAACAAAATGGAATTGTTCACACTTAGATTTGACCAAGGCTAAAATCTGGCTCTTGTGAAAAATGCAAAGGAACTTCTGACAAAGACCAGTTGGGGCATCTGTGGGTATGTCAGGGTTAGTGAGACTCAAGTATGCAGACTGAGTTTGTAAGCCCAGGGCTGGAGCATCTCCACCCATTGGTGACCAAAGGTTTACAGTTTCTGGACCTGGCCCCCAAACCTGGCCTCCAGCGTCCCCATGCAGATCCAAGTCAAATTACCATATCCTAGGCTTCCTAGCATTCTCCCCTGCTGTGGTCGCAGTAGGCCTTGGCTCGTGGTACAGTGTAGGAAAACTTGACTCTCCATCCTGCATGTTACAGGAAATTGTTGCAAGCTGCCAACACATCCTGCTGAGCCCTCTTGAGTCTGCATGCTTGTGGCTACCAGAGCCAGCAACGTGGAGAAGTCACCACTTGAGGGCTTCTCTTGCTTGGGCTTTCCACTTCTGTTTCAGGAAATGGGCAGATCATCCATGAGATGCTGGTGGACATTCCAGTGGCCTTCTCTGATCTACCAAAGGTTCCTGACAGAGGATGAGGATAATACAGGCATGGAAGACTTGAACTGGCTGATGCTGTTTGTAGCTCTTGGTATAACTGCTGATGCCCCAGATGTAGACTGGTGCTTCTGTAGCAGGGCCACACGCACAGACTGGTGGGATCACATCATCATGTGGACCTGGGGCGACAAGCAGTGGCTCCAAAACTTTTGCATGAAGAAAGCCACATTTCTGGACCTTTGTGACCAGCTTGCCCTGACTTTCCAGCATCAGGACACACATGAGGGCAGCCATATCGGTCCCGAAGTGGGTTTCTATCGTTGTCTAGAAATTGTCTACCCTGGACTGCTAACGGCCTCTTGCTAACCAGTTTGGCATTGGAAAGTCAGCTGAGGGTAAGATGGTGGGGGAGGTTTCTCAGGCAATCAGGTGTGTGATTCCACCAAAGATGGTGGGCATAAACAACAGCCTTGAAGTAACTGCTGGTTTTGAGAGAATAGGGTTTCCAAACTGCATCGGAGCATGAGTATATAAACCACAAATGACACTACTCCACTGTTATTCACAGGCTGATTTATGGACACCAGTGTGGGCTGCACTGGAAAAGTTCATGATGCTAGGGGCTTTCTGATGATTGTTTGTCTACATTCCTAGGCAGGGACACTTCCCACCATAGGACATTGTTATAAACAGAGTTACTGTCCCCATTGTTATCCTGAGGGACCCCATGTACCTCCTTTCACATTGGCTAATAAAACCATATCCTGATCTCAAGAGGTGCAATTACACTCTCAGTAGGTTCAGAATGGCGCTGTTTATGGACTCATTTGGATTGGTGTCATCAATGCCGTCTGTATTATTGTGGCTTGCTGTGCTCTTTGCAATCTTTGTGAATCCAAAGGTGAGCCATTTGCCCCTGAAATGGAGCTATGACAGCAAAGGATTGCTGAACCAGTACGCTCAGCCAGAAAGTGCACCCATCACAGCTGGGGCAGGATGCACCTGGGCAACATCAATCAGGGATGCTCTGTGCTCCCACATTATGGAGTTGCATTGACCAATAGTAGAGGGAGAATACTATGTTTATGATTGTTACTGCAATGTTTACAGTAACTGAGGCCACATCATGCAATAAAATGGGTGGGGAGAGTTGACTGCCATGCATTATACTTATAGATGACATGACTGCTTATAAACATGTGTATGTGTATTGGGGGGGCTCATTGCCATCCATTGTCATTGTGGATAACATGATCACTTACGCAGTGGGGAGGAGGACATGTGGCAAAACCTGTGGATTTACACAATGGATTGTAGATAAAAGTACTCAGAAATTGTTTGGCTATTTCTTCCCAGTTGTCCCTTACTGTATGTTTCTTTATTATTTGAAATACACATTGTGATGTGATGATGATGATGATAAACATCTTTAATAAAATAAGTCTTTATTTGTGAACATGGATATATTTAAAAAAAAACCAAACCCAATATTAAATCATTGCCAGGTAGGCCAGCTACCATTGCCACACCAAAACACTAGTAAGAAATCAACATCAAAACCATTAATAAAACAAAGTGCATAAATCAAACATTGAAGAGTGCCAACAAATACATCCCCTAATGTTTGTGTGTCCCCATTCTCCTTTCTCTTCCTTGCACGTTTATTGTAAATAGTGCCACTCCACATGTGTGAGGGCCTGCACTGGGCTGGAGGACTGCATGGGGTATATTTGCCCTGTCCAGCTGCTAAGTCTCAGTTGCATAGGCCACCCAACCATGGAATTGTTTGGAGTATTCCTGGGCTGCAGCCCATGGTACCATGGTTGGGAGTCAGGCCATGGTGTAGGTGCAGTAGGAGCCAGAACGCTGGCGGCCATAAGTGTAAGCAGCCTCTCAAACAGATCTTTCTGCTGCGCTTTATCTTCCTCTCTCAACTGATGTTCCTGCTCCAGAAACTGCACTACAAGCCTCCCCTCGTGCGCTGCAATTCCATCGTCTTGCGCTGCAGCCTGTTTCTGCCTTTCCACGGGCCGCAAATCCTTCTCCCTCTGGTATTGCACCTGCTTGTTGGCCCTGTCCAGAATGTCCCCCAGAAGTTCATAATGGAAACACTTCTACTAGGACCGGTTCGTAACAGTTCTGAATCCGAGGGACCTGCTGGCGTGTGCTGATGCTGCTGAGGTCAAAAGGCCTAAATGCAGACATCAAACAATGCATTAGTGTCTCAATTACTTCAAAACAGGTCTGTGCATCTGCAGCCAAAAGTGCCTTGGGGAATCTCAAGGCCAAAAAATGATACCATAAAACTGAGCTTCAGTGTACTCTGAGAGGAATGCTTCAGTTCCCAGCAGATCTGTGGATGCACGTGAGCTAACCGCAGTGAAAAGAATGCACAAAAATATTAAGTTTAAAATGTATTGTTGCTTTGTTTTAAAAATGAAGACCAGCTTTGCTGAGGGGGAAATCTCTGACGGGGCAAACTTATTAGCAAAGCTTTCTCCATATTTTCAGGCATTCCACATTCTGGAGGACGTGGCCATTCAGGAACCTTAGAATTGTTATGGCATATTTTACTCCAGGTTTCCGGTGGCACACCACTCACATGTGCCCCAGAGGTTTTCAAACTTACAGCCAGTGGAGTGGGCTGGTGCCCTATAGCGGTTTTTAGTCTTCATCTGCAGCATGGGGCACAGGTCACTTGCAGGTTTAAACTAATGTAAATGTAGATTCTCTGTAACTTCAAGTCTTTAAATCATGATTTGAGGACTTTTGTAAGTCAGCCAGAGGTTGTGGGTCTATTACAGGAGTGGGTGGGTGAGGTTCTGTGGCCTGCAGTGTGCAGGAGGTCAGACTAGATGATGACGATGGTCCCTTCTGGCCTTAAAGTCTGAGTCTATGAGATGGGCTTGGAAAATACACCCTTACCTGAAGTGTGACTACCTATCTGCAGTTCCTTCTATGGGGAAAGTTTGTGTCTGCCAGCAGCTAGAAGTGGGGCAGAATTCATGGGGAAATCAATGGGATGCTGAGTTAGTGTCTGCATGGATTACTGTCTCCCTACATCTCCTGCCACAGACTGCTCTGAATGCATCTACATAGAGTCTACATCAGGGGTGGGCAAATGTTTTGGCCTGAGGGCCACATCTGGGTACGGAAATTGTTTGGTGGGCCATGAATGCTCACGAAATTGGGGTTGGGGTGGGGCCAGAAATGAGGAATTTAGGGTGCAGGAGGGGGCTCTGGGCTGGGGTAGGAGGTTGGGGTGCTGGAGGGGTGGTGAGGGCTCCGACTGGAGATGTGGGCTCTGGGGTGGGGCTAGGGATGAGGGGCTTGGGATGTAGGAGGGGGCTCTCAGCTGGGATCAAGG